GAACCTTCCAGAAGGCTTTCATTTCCCGGCTGCTCCCGTGGCGGCCAGGGAGGGCTCCTGCTGCGCCCGCGAAGGAGGCCCCGGAGCAAGGCCTCCTTGGAGCTGTAGGCTCCGCTGGCGGGGGTGGCAGCAGTGGGCCTGAAACGGCAGTGGCCCTGGGTGTGCGTTACCACGGCAAAGACGAGTCTAGGCAATAAAAAAAACCGTTGGCAGTCATCATTGTGGGTTAAGGTGTCGTTTATTCATTTCTGTGGTAACTCGATCTGTCGACGCCCTTTCAGATGGGTAGAACTGTTACCTGCAGGCTCCAGGGTCAGGCACATGGCTGCTGGTGGTGTGTTCTCAAAAGGCATGGTAGTCGAATGGGAATGCAGGTTCACAGATTTGCAGATCAGCCTGGAATTAAATTGGACTTCCCGTATTTACGGTGGAGGTTTGGGGGTTTTTTTAGTTTGAATGAGCCAATTTCTAGGCCATTTTTCAGCTGATCTGGATATTGCACAAATGTCTGGCCCTGCTCATTCCTGTGTATCTAGAGTTTAATTTTGGACTGTGATCAGAACCTGGGTTCTCTTCATTTCCTTTGAAAATATGAATGCTTCTATGTTTCTGTATATCTTAAGTTTTTTCCAATTGGAGCCGTACAACACGCATGTCTTGATCTGACTGGGGAATTGGCATTGAAGAAATATTTAATAATAGTGTTCTTATGAGTAATTACATTATATAAACTGAGCAATCGCATGTTGCAACAGAATTTTAGCTACAATATACTGTACAAACACGTAAGTGCATGTGTTCATGTATATGTGCATGTATTTTTATATCTGTGTATATATTCTTAAAACATTATCCAGTTTTGCTCATCCTAAAATTCACTGGTAGCATCAGAAGCCATTTTGGCAGAGTATTTCTGCAATCTCTTTTGTCACGGTGGATTAAGGAAGTTCCCTTCTCCACAGCACTTTTGAACAATTGTTGGATTTTAAGGTTCTTTTTTCCATTTTGCTTTTATAATTCCGTGCTTGATGATTATTATGACAGTGCAAGTGAATGCTAAGAAGATGTTTCCAGAAATCTAAACAGTTACTAAAAAGCCACCGATAATCACGGATATTGTTAGGTAGATGTAAGAAAATAAAGACATTAAAGGATTTGCAAAAAGTAATTCCTCACTCAGGATAAACAATGGGTCTAATTCTAAATAGCTTTGTGCATTAGACATAGCTTCTGCCATCTATGGCCTGTTCTTGTTAAATAATAGCAGCAGATATTGTAACGTATTTTAGTGTTGTGAAGAATTAAGTGGAAGAAGGTTGATACACAGTATCTGCATCAATATCTCCTTACAGATGTGGGTTCAGTCGTATTCTGAGATCAATCGAGTTTGTCACAGTTGAAACCTATGCATGTGAGATAAATAATACGCGTGTGAACATCAGTGGAGTCAACAGGATAAAGAATATAATGCAAAGGGGCCACATTTAAAGAAAAATCAAAATGGATTTAATTATGCGGTCATTAAAAACAGGGAGTTTGCAATTGGTGTCTAAGAAAAGGAGCTGGCCTAGGGTTTATTGTTTACATACAGTGGAATATTGGGATAAAATGTCATGGTCCTAATCTTATCTGAAACACGGGAGTTTTGAGTTTGTGAGGTATAAAGTATTTGTCTATATATATATTGTTTGATTTTAAAGTAATTATAAATGAAATATAAAATGTAAGCTCCACCTGTTGGTGAAGATGCAGTATGTCAAATGATGTTTGTTACTTCACCCAATTCCAAAAGGGCTTTACAAGAAAATAATATAATGGTGATTTTTCTACTTAAAATCTGAAGAAATTTGAGGGAATATGGTCTGGGTCTTAGGAGGCGCAAGTGTGAAAATGGCATGGGATGAATCAGCTTTATGACCAGCTGAGGCATCCAGGCTATTTTAACTCTAAAGCAAAAAAGACGCCAGTTTAAAAGTTTTTCTCAGTACATAAAAAATGTCATGTCAGAGCATTGTTTTAATAATGCATTTCATACTTGATTGTCACCAAGGCTGAGCTTTTTCGTCTTGCAACCTCAAGTCTACTCAGTCTTTGTATACAAATATTGTTCTGTCATAGTTAAAGTACAAGCTCTTTCTTGATTAGATGCACATACAGAAGTTTCCAGGTACTTCATGTGGCCATAACTCTTACTGTAATAATAACAAGATATAATAGATTTATACTTAGGTACTTGAAAGAAATATAGCAATCTGTGCTAACAGGTCTACTTGTAGAAAAATTTTGGTAGAAAAATCACTTGCTAAAATAATAGTTCCAGTTTATAGTTGAAATGTTTTCCAGACTCCTGAAGTTGCTATAGGGGTAGTAGTGTATGGGTTGGAGAGTCAAGGTGGTCCCTAAAACTCATGAAGGGAAAGTGGATGAGTTAAGCCTTAACCCACCACGTCATCTGGTCATTTCTAGAAGACGTCTCCAACTAAGTCTTACATATTCTGCAAGAGGAAAAGTGAGCCTTCCCAGCTTTCTCCTGCTTATCCCAGCCCTTTCGTTCCTCTGCAAGTTACGTAGGGCCTGCAGGAAGAGCACTTCCTTCTTACGGTCCTACCAAAGTTCACAGAAGAAATGTGAGAAGAAGAAACTGGAAGGAATTTTTCCATTCCTGTGAATGCCTGACGCCCACCGTGTGACTCTCCAGCCTCTGAATGGAAAATACTTTCTGCCTTGACGTGTTGGAATTGTCACTGGAAGGCATTTCTGATTACATGCCTCAAAGTCTGCAAGAAGAAGAACAAGCTACTGGAAGATCTTCCGCATTATTCTAGTTACCGTGCCACATCTCGAGCTCTGCCGTTGTTAAGAAGGTGGCCGCCTAATGGCCTGCACACTATGTGTGAAAGGTTTGTTCTCCAGAGTTCACTGTCCAGAGGAGAACCTTGAGGAGTCATTGTGCTGCCACGGACAAGTCAGTGACCCAGAAATGGGGAGATCAAGACTTTGTTCCCAGCTGTCCTGGTGGTCTGCTGTGTGATCGTTGGGAGATACCGTGCATGCCTCTCTACGTTCACTGCCTTACAGCTGTCTTACCTGCTTTGAATGTAAGGTCTATGGTGATAGGACTGACTTTCCGGTATTTGCGTAACAACGAAGGGTTATGAACACCACGGTCAGGACAGTCCTTAAGTATGTAGAAAGCAGCTGGAATATGGAGAGCACTACCATAAATAGCAATAATAAAACTTTAAAGACCCCTCAAGTTAGACTTTGGGCAACTATGTTTTGATGCTGGAGCTTGGCCCAAGAATCTATTAAAGAAGTTTTTAATCTATTTTCTTTCCTT